CCCACTCTGACTCAACCCATCCCATCCTAACTCAACCCATCCCACCCCAACTCAACCCATGCCACCCTGACTCAACCCATCCCACCCTGACTCAACCCATCCTACCCTAACTCAACCCATCCCACCCTAAGTCAACCCATCCCACCCTAACTCAACCCAACCTAGGGTAATGAAACCCAACGCAAATAAACTGAATTACTACTTCACACCTTCACGACCCAATTCAACATTTCCAAACTCGCCTCAACCAGCTAAACACAACTCCATCACAGTCCAGCGCAACCCAAAACTATCTCACCAAAGCGAACTCAACACAACTCAATCCAACTTGACCCAACTCAACTCAATCCAACACAGCTAAATTCAACTCGACCCAACTTGACTGAATGCAACCCAACCCAACTCAAATGAGCTCAGTCCATCTGAACTCCATCACAATTCTACTCAACTCAAACCAACCTAACCCAACTCAATTCAACACAACACATTCCAACCAAACTTTGGCCCAACTAATCCCAAACCACATCAGCGACTTGCACGCACTTCTGAATGAACTTTATTTTCAATAATTCCAAGTGCGAGAACCTATCAAGGAGTCTAAAATGTGTCTCATTCTCCTTCTGTTCCTCTAGGGCCTTGATGTTAATGTCAAAAAGTAATTTCCAACCCCCAAAACTGAAAGATAAATTAAAATGGTAAGTTTGCCTCACCGTATGTTGGGGAGTGGCAGGGGTGGAGAGGCAGGAAGTGAAGCCCACCGCTGCCGACAAGCCCCGCAGTCTCTCAACCCCGCAGTTCTGCAAAGAATCGAAGTTTGTAGAGCAACGTTGGCCTTGCTCTCAAGGTTGGCATTTGTTGAGAATACCCCCACTCGGCGCCCGTCCCACCTTGATACCCCTTGAGTGGGGACCGGAGGTGAAGTCACGATTTCAAAATAACTGACGGGGCAGGGTGGAGGTGGGAAAGTTCAGAGTCGTCCACTGGAGAGCGGGGAGGGGGGTGGGTGAACTGGAGTCACATGTGGACCCAGACATGAAAGAAGAATGACGGAGCCTCCTTCCGTCGAGAGCAGCTGGTCAACTGATGTAGCCGTCACGTTCGCCTTGCAGGGTAACCCCCACCCCCACCCCGGTCTTGGTCTAAACGAGCCACTGGTGGGGATTTGGGCCCTTAGTTCGTTCCTACACTCCCTGGCAGTGTGCGCGCACCTCCTAAAGCAGGTAAAGGAGATTGCAACCAACCCCCACTGTCACCTCCTCCTTCCTCTGCCCTCAGGTCCTCTGAGTGTCACAGCTTCATCAAGATGAGCCTGAGGAAAAATCCCAAGAAGAGGCCTACGGCCGAGAAACTGCTCCAGGTAATGGGCTTTTGTGGATAACCTTCAACGCAGGGTTGCTTTGAAGAGAAAGGAACAGCATTGAGCCAAGATGTCTGATCGAAGACATTGGAATCGGAGGAGGGGAGGTGCGGGATCCAAAACTTAAGAGATGCCAGGTCTAATCCAGGGACTGGGACTTCCCAATCCCAAATCAGGAAGCAGATGGGGTGGGCCAGGATGGAGTGTCTCAACCCCCCCATTACCTCCTCGTCCCACCAATCCAAATACCTCAAGTCGCTTGGAGAGTGGGTTTGGAGGGAGATTTACTGGAACAGGACCAGGGATGGTTCATTGAGTGCGGGGAGAGACTGGAGAAGCAGGGATCGTTCCCCACCTTTCCTGGAGCAGGGAAGGAGATTGAGCCCAGGCGTTCGGAATCGCGAAGGGGTTCGAGTCAATGAGGGAGAAACTGTCCTCAGCATCAGGAGGGTTGGTCACCAGAGAATCGAGAACAGAACCTGAGGTGGGTGGAGAGGGTTGGGAGGGGAGGGGGGCGCGGGTAGAATGTTTTATTTGAAGCAGTGGGTTGCTGTGAGCTGGGAAAGGGCAGGGGTGGGGGTTGGGTAGCAGATTCAACAGGAGCTTGCAAAAGGGGGGTGTATTTGGAAAGGAGGAATTCACAAGAGAGCTGTTTGGGAATGAGGGCTGGAATTAAATGGAGATGTCTTTCCAAGGGCTGCTCAAGACTGATGGGCTGAATGGCATCCTCCCATGCTGGAAGACTTGATGCTATGAGCCAAAGGGCCCAGGAACGTGCATTGGGCAGAGAATAGGTCCACAGGGGCTGGAGTGGGCCACTCGGCCCCTCTCCTCTGACAAATTCTGGATAGTCAACCCAATTCAGCGCAACACCCCCCAGCACGTCTTCCAAAGTAATAACCAGCTTCCAGTGACCGTGGTGTGTTTTCTTGGCAGCACCCATTTGCCAACCAGTTCCTGAGCCGGATCCAGGGGATCGAACTACTGGACAAGATGAACAATCCAGACTCCAGTGCGTCGTCGCCTGCAGACGACAGCGATTTGGAGGTAGAGTTTGCTCGGGGAAAGGGCTTCAGCTACTTAACCAAGGTTCCAGCTACAACTGCTGTACACACCCCTGTCAGTACCATCTGAGGGGTGATGGGTAGAGCCCTGACCCTGCCACCCGATTGGTCAACTTCCTGCCCCTCCGACTAAAGCCGACGGGCATGGGCACCAAAAATCACATTTCAGGAGCGGGCACTGTCGGAGGATCAGCGCTGAGGGAGTGGACACAGTCGGAGAGTCAGCGCTGAGGGAGTGGGCACTGTCGGAGGGTCAGTGCTGAGGGAGTGGGCACTGTCGGAGGGTCAGTGCTGAGGGAACGCCGCACTGTCGGAGGGTCAGTGCTGAGGGAGCGCCGCACTGTCGGGGGGTCAGTGCTGAGGGAGCGGGCACTGTCGGAGGGTCAGTGCTGAGGGAGTGGGCACTGTCGGAGGGTCAGTGCTGAGGGAGTGGGCACTGTCGGAGGGTCAGCGCTGAGGGAGCGGGCACTGTCGGAGGATCAGCGCTGAGGGAGTGGGCACTGTCGGAGGGTCAGTGCTGAAGGAGTGGGCACTGTCGGAGGGTCAGCGCTGAGGGAGCGCTGCACTGTCGGAGGGTCGGCACTGAGGGAGTGGACACAGTCGGAGGGTCAGTGCTGAGGGAGTGGGCACTGTCGGAG